TAACTATTACCCCATCATTTATTGAACTTTCAATATAGATTTAAATTACTCAAAATTTTATCTTCTACTCTCTATTAAATACAAATAATATACAGAATGCTATCTTAATTCTTACAGAATTAACCAAATTTGTATTGTCAAAGTTTCTGCAAGTATTTTAATACATTTTTTCAACAGAACTAATTCCAAACACCAACTCAACCTTAATGCAAATTACTTGAACCTTATTTGTTCTATAGCTGTCAAGCATCCAATCTGTATTTTTTCTTTATCTATAATTCCTATTTCTAATTTAATTACTTCTAAAATCTTTATTTTAGTAAAACTATCAATAAACTTATATTTATCTCTCAACTTAACTACTCTTACCAACAACTATCCTTTTATACTGATGACTCAATAAATAATATTGGTACTAACCAATGCACAATAGGTATTAGTTGGATTCAAGTTGATAATAATAATCAAACTATTAACTTCCTTTCTGTTAAAATACAATTCTGACTCTTATTATATAAAGCTAAGCTCTTCTTAATTATTACTGCAATCTTAACAGCTTCATACAATTCAGTAGTCAATATTTTCACTGATTCTCAATCAGTAATTTCCAAATTTAATAACCTTTAACTTTATTCAAATCACCTTAATAAGGTATTCAAATTTAATTCATAGTCTATTTAACATACTCTTTTTAATATTATTAAATCACACAAATTACAAATTATCTTTTATAAAGTACAGATTCATTCAGATAATAATCTTAATAAGTAAGCAAACTCTCTTGCCAAACATCCATTATCATCACTTTTTTTATTTAATTATACAAATCTTTATAATCTTTATCATATTCTTCAATAAAATCAATATTATATAGAACTTTTTATATATATTTTATTAAACAAATATGTAAAGCCCACATATTAGCTATATGGGCATTACAAAAATGTAATAGTAAGTAGTTATACTTTAATCAGAATATTGACTGGAAATCCACTTGGCTTTATTTTAATCACAATCAAAATCTTCATATAATATTACTAATTTTAGACTCAATCAACTAAAATCTTTTAAAATCAAAATTCTTCTTAATAAGTTATTAATATACCAACTATTTCATACTATTTATCCAAACCAATATTCAGATACAAATTGCTTTTATTATAATTTAGTTAACTCCTATTCTTACTAGTATACTTATGATAATGCATTTTTGTTTAACCAAATTATTCAAATATCTACTAACCAAATCATCTTTAGCAAATTGCTTGATTTTGATATTTATTAAAAAAATGGTCTAATTCATAAAATCTTTTATCACTTAGCTTTTAATCTTTTATACATTTTATCTAACATATTTTGTCTTAATCTTATTCTCAAAGGACTTATTCCAAAGTCAATTATATCAATAGTTCAAAACTCTAATATATTATATAAAACTACCTTCCAAATTATTATTGATATTTTTCTCAATATTAATAAACAATTATATGAACAATTATAGAAAACATATTGTATTTATTTCTCTAACTGGAAAAAATAACAAAATAAATCTTAATCTTAACCAATCAACAAATCCTTAATATTATCTAACTTAGCAACTAGATATATATATTTTCATAAAAACTTTATGTGCTTATATCTTTGTAGACTTTTAGATTAACTATATACTTACTTTAATATATGTTCTTCTATTAGTTAAATAATTTTTAAAATTAATATTTGATCTATTCTATGAATCAAATATAGAATATCATCAAATTATATATTAAATATTCAAATCTAAATAAGCTTTAACCACTCTAGTAGGTCTAGGTTACAGATAAATTAGTCTAAGCTTTTATTCTTATATGTAATTTTCAATTTATTTGTTTTGTATAAATAGTAGTAGCTGTATAGTTAGCAGTTTAATGATTAGCCCTAACTGCAAGTGTAGCTTCAGTCATAGCATATATACATGTAACTATTTTAAATTATTAATAAAAATATAAGCAAGATCTAATTTTTTAAAAAAAAAACAAAAAGAAAAAAAAACCAAAATTATTAAGCAAATTTTTATGATTTTAAAAATAGTAGAATTATTAAATTTAGATTAAAATTTATTGAAATAAGTTTATTTAAAGATATAGTATTATAAATTTATTATAAAAATCAGATGATAATCATATAATAATCAACCAATCAAAACATTATTACTGAGAATTTGGATTTACTACTAAGACTTTTATGATATATACAAATATAGTTTTTTAAAATAATATATAAGGGTGTGGCAACTTAATGAAATAAATAAGTTGTCATATTCCTAAGTAAATAGTTGTAAGTTTAAAACTTATTATTAGCAAAATTTGGATAATTATTTATGTAATGTATAGACAGTATTATGACAATAACATTCTGTCAATCAGTTGAGATAGGATACCTGTAACTATGGTTATACTAGTATAACTGACAGGTCTGGAAATCTGTGTAACCCTAGTTACATAGAAAAATGCAACCAATACAAGGTAATACAAACCTAAAATAAGTTCTTAAATCATATAAATCTATAGAACTGAAAAGCTAAAGCCTACTTGAAAATTTTGAATAAAAAGATAATATGAATTTTTAACAGTACTACTGTAAAGGCTAGATCTAGGAAATAGATGTTAATGTGAAGATATTGAGCAGACAAGAACCTTAGGTAAGAGGTACTACCAATCAGGTTACCAGATTTCAAACTAAAGAAAAAGAATATTATGCCAATCTCAATATACCAAAAACAGGTTATATTTCTTTTAAGCTATCTGAATTAGAAGTTTGAGATCAAAACAGGAGTATACTAAAAGTATTAAAGATATGCTATAAAATTAATATCAGGATCTAAATAAACTCTGTAAAGATAATCCTTATTAGTATTCTAAAAATGAATAAATAGTTAACTATAGAGGTCTCCTGCATCTTATTAACAGATAATATATTCAGAAATATGTAACTGCCTAAGAATTAGTACAAAAAAGATAAGTACTATACTGCTTAGATAATATACCAATTAGGTATATATAGGAGGTTAGTTAGGATTATATAATAACAGAGCAGATGATTAGAGGGTTTAAATAAATAATCTTCTAGTAGGTTATAAGTACAGTATCTAATATAGAACCTTAAGATGAACTATTTAAATATGTAACTAAAAGTTATATGTGTAACTAGTTATATTTTTATCTTTGTAAATATAGTTGTAATAACTAACCCAATATAAGTCAATAAAGTATCACCACTAAGTATGACCTTTAATAAAAAAAAAAAAAATAATAATAATATATATTATAATTTTTTATTAAAATAAATAAATCATTTTCTAAAAATTTAATAAAATTTGAATACATTTTTAAAAAATTTTACCAGAAACGGAGTGAAATGGAGAGTATGGTTTACCTGTGGGAGAAATAGTGTGCAGGTGCAAAATCTTATCCCTTATTGGTTGGTGTGATCATAACCATCACATTGTCTCAAGTCTTTACATGTAACAGCATCACTACGTATTCTAAATTTTGCAATTATATTTAAACAGGTATTGAAAATTATATATAGTCTTTACTCGAAAAATTACTATTTGACATTTCAGATCAGTGGAATCAATAATATCCAAAAAATTATTTGTGCATGTTGATCTAAGTTTGGTGATCGGAAAATGTCGAAGGATGTTTCTTCTAGTAAGGACTTGTATTATAATATATAGTAACATATATATAATAATATAATTAGAGATAGGACACTGCACAGGTGGAATTTTCTGAAAGCCTGTAATTCTTCAGAATTTCACAGAATTTAACAATTTTGCCCGCATTAGCCATAATGCAGGCCCATGCAGGCTGTGCATCCTGCGCAGTAGATTAGAAAAATTCTCGATTTTTCCATCTCTAACTATAATGCTATTATTTCGTATTCATACATATTCATTCTTTGCTTTCGTGCATTATGTTGCACAGTTACTTGACTATTGCAGTTTTACTGAAACCTAGAATCCTCACTTTGTCATACAATTATATTTTGTCTAGGAAACTGGTTTAGACCGAGTCTGAAAAAGACTAGTTCAGAACTGGTCTGGTCTCACATGATATGAATAGATACATCGAATATATTTAATATAGTATGAATCATGAAAAACACTTTTTAAATAATAGCTACAATGAAATTTGATGTTTCCATTTTAAAAATTCACTGATTATTAAGTTCTTCAGTTGTATGTTTAAATCAAATTGGTAAATTCTTTATTGTTTTTATGCCATATTGAACCACTAGGGTAGGACCGGTTTTTACCTAATTTTTGATAAGGGTGAACTAGTTTTAAATTAGTCTGATACCAGACTTTTTAGTGTCTAAACCAGACGCACCACCTGATCTTGTATGCATTAGCATATGTATGTATGTAATTTTCCAATCTTGATTCCCAATGTATACTATATTTAGCAACTGATAATGGTTTGCATTACAATACTTCTAAAGGCATATATTGTAATTAATGATATCATCAATATGCTCATATTTGCATCCTTCTTTGTGAAACTTTTTATATTCTTCAATAAACTGTATTAGTCTCGTATATACATATGTACATACACGATGCTGCATTTATTTATATATAACGATTTAATCGAATATAGTGATTTATTATGTATTATATTAAAAGTATGTGTATATGATCAAAATTCTTATATTAAGTGCTTTAATTTAATATGAAAATTCATGCTTACAAAAAATCAATTTGATTTATGCTCAAATTTATTCAGACAATATTTTATTTTTAGATGAATGAATAATGTAATGCATACTAAATCTTTCATAATAAATTGTATACTTTGACAGATCTTTATTACTATATATAAATTTTACAACAACAATGATGTATTTACGTTTTAGTACATTGAGATGTGATAAATGAGCTAAGTATTTTTTTTTTTAAATTACTTCACTGCTTTCTCTCCTTTTTACTTCTTATTTATTCTATTACTCTGCTTGCTTCATTTTCTCTTTCTAGATAGCTCTTCAACTTCTTGTTCCTCATTTTCATCTAATGACTTTATATGTTCATCAGAAAGCATAGCTTTTTCCTCATTATGATCACTTTGTAGTTCTTTATCATTATTTTCATCATCTAAATCTAAATAGTTTTTTTTTTCAAGCATTGAACTAACTTTTGTATCTGACATAGAAGCTGTGTTATTATCATAAATAGTAGAAAATTGATTATTAGGTGTAACAGATTCAATATCGTTAGTGATAATATCTATAATCGTGCGAGCCTTTGGTCATTTATCAGAAGAAATTTCAAATGCATTAGGATTGTAGATTGGAGATTTTTGATAATCAATATCTGTAGCTTCTATCATTATTCTACCTGAATCTGAAAATTTAATGAATTCTGATATAAGATAGATATTTTCTATTTTAATGTTAAGTTCTGATGTGTCTAAGTGTTTAAATCTCACAGATTGCAAGGCATATAGAGCAATCATCTTCATTTTAATATTAGCTGATCCTGTAACAGAGTTATATGCTACACACTCCACTTTAAAATGAATAAATTCTTTAGTTTTTTTTGGATTACGATTAACACTAACAGAAATCATGCAATGAGGAGTACATATAGGAACACCAGTTATGTCAAATTCACGATCAGGTTTTCCAGTATCAATAATGCTAGCATAAGCAATAGTTACACATTCTTTAGAATTTTAACAACATATTTACTAGAAATAAATACAATGTCTTCAAGATTGAATACTTGAGGGATTGCATTTGAAGGAAAGAAATACTTCCATCTAATAGTACGTGATATCTGATCAAAAAGCTTATACTTAGCAATACCATATGAACATAATTGATTACTTCCTACAGAAGTAATAACAATAAAAAAGCAATATGGGATGCCATTTTTATTTTTATGAACTTTCTGTAAGATTATTTCAACTATTTGTAAAAAAAAAAGTCACAGCATTGGAGATCAGTCTTTATTAATCAATCTTTATATAAAAAAAAACGATTTTTTTAGTTATTTTTGAAATCACATTAATAAATTATAATTCAGACTGATCAATGTTTAGTTCACAATGCTTAGATAAAAAATCATCTAATTTATGTGATTATTTAACATCTGGTTTCAAGTAAGTATATAAATAATCTAAATCTTTTTAACAGTTTTGTGTAATCTAGATTATTATTTTTAAAATCTCTAATTTGAGCAATTGATTACTTTATACCTTGTTGATTTCAAAAATTTAAGGACTCATATGAAATTTCATTAAAATATATATAGTTAGTTCCTGAAAATCGATAATTTATTTGCACGAGCTTTTAGATAAACTATAAATTAAGTATTTTTAATTTGTTTTACAGGAGCTACCATTCAAATATGTAGATAATTCCGATTTAATTATACATGATTATTAACAAATAAATGTATTTTTTAAATGTATATAAAGATTATTATCAATCATATATCCATATCAGAATTATCTATATATTTAAACATCGCTCCTGTAAAGTTGTCTATAAAATTTTGATTTCTAGACTATAACTTATTAAATCTATTATTGTTCAAGCTAATAATATATCATAAGATTTTTTCTTAAATTTCTGTTCAAAAAAGTTAGACCATGTGTTGCCTAATATATTATTTGCATTATCTGGTATTATTTTAACATTATAATAATTATCACTATCTATAATTCATATCGTGATATGATATAATAAACTTTTATCTTTCTTATGCCTTTTTTATTAATTGTTATGTGATTGATTCGATATATCAAGAAATGTTTTAAAAAAATATAGAACACAAATTATAATTATCTACAACTATAACATGCTATAGTAATACAAAATTTTTACATTATAATAATTATAGCAATATTCTCTGCATATATTTTCACTATTTATAGTTCGTCTCATAACATAACATACTATACTTAATAACTATCATTAATAAACCTTTAGTTTTTTTATGCCTTCAGCTCAAACTGACCTAATTCTCATAATATACCATAAATAAACCTTTATTTTTTTTACGCCTTCTGCTCAAAGTAGCCTAATTCTCATAACTTACCATAAATAAACCTTTATTTTTTTTACGCCTTCTGCTCAAAGTAGCCTAATTCTTATAATATACAATAAATAAACCTTTATCTTCCTCATGCCTTCTGCCTGATATAGCCTAATTTTTGGTATACTATAATATGAATTATTTGTTAAAATTGCACAAATAATTTGATATATTGGTTGTGTCATTAAGCGTGATATACCAACCTGATGTATTTGAATTAAAATATATTTACTCAAAATTTTATATATTAACTTGCAATTAAATATATTTAATATTTGAAATATTTATAGAATATATTTATAAAAAAAAATCAAATTAATTTTTGATTATATATTGTTTAAAAAAATCTCAATGTTGATTAATTTTTTTTAAAAAAAATTAAATATTGAAATTTTTTAATATATTTATTAATTAACCAATTACAATTAGTATTTGTTTGTATTACTACACAATTATTTTGGTGTAATCTTGTTATATAAATTTGCAAATTTTCAACTATGATTATTATGTATAAAAAAAACTTATATTAAAAAGAAAATTATCTATTTAAATTAATTTACTATATAAAAAATTAATAATTTTATATAGTAAAATTAATAATATATATATATAAAAAAATTAGTAATTATAAATTTTTTTAAAATTTCAAAATTATATATCTATTTATATATATATAATAAACCTCTTAATATATGTTTTATATTTATATTATTTAAAAATATATTATTTATTAATTTTATAAACTTGTTATATAAATATATTTTATTTAAAAATTATTATATTTTTATATTTACAAATCATTATTTATAAATTTTTTTATTCTAAAAAAATTTTATATTATATATAAAATAATATAAAAAATATTTTTACTAAATAAACAAAATATAATTTATATAATAAAAAAAAGTTATAAATTAAAGCCTATATAATTTAAATATTTTTTATAAATTTGTAAATTGATAAAAAAAATTTAATTAAACTTTAATAAATTTATTTTAAACTTTAATATTATAATGTATATAATTCTAAAAGTATAGTTTAGAATAATAGTTATTAGATTTAATATTATTATTAAGCTTAAACATATACTTTAAAATAATAATTATTAAATTTAATATTATAGTATATATAATTCTAAAAGTATAGTTTAAAATAATAGTTATTAGATTTAATATTATTAATAAGCTT